TATCCACATAATTTTTTCCCCTCCCACTACTCTAATACTGACAAAGGTCTCATGAGTTATAAATATCATCTTTCCATGCAGGAATGTAAACAGTTCAGCCTTAATAAGTCTCTTATAATTTCTCTTTCCTGTTTACCTCTTCATGTTCCACTTGAGTCTTGTATTTGAAAGTCAAATTTTCTTTCAGCTCTGGTCTTTTCATCAAGAATGCTTGAAAGTCCTCTATTTCACTGAATGACCATTTTTTCCCCTGAAGGATTATACTCAGTTTTGCTGGGTAGGTGATTCTTGGTTGTAATCCTATCTCCTTTGCCCTCCGGAATATTATATTCCAAGCTCTCTGGTCCCTTAATGTAGAAGCTGCTAAATCTTGTGTTATCCTGATTGTGTTTCCACATACTTGAATTGTTTCTTTCTGGCTGCTTGCAATATTTTCTCCTTGACCTGGGAACTCTGGAATTTGGCTACAATATTCCTAGGAGTTTTCCTTTGGGGATCTCTTTCAGGGGGAGATCAGTGGATTCTTTCAATTTCTATTTTGCCCTCTGGTTCTAAAATATCAGGGCAGTTTTCCTTGATAATTTCTTGAAAGATGATGTCTAGGCTCTTTTTTTGATCATGGCTTTCAGATAGTCCAATAATTTTTAAATTCTCTCTCCTGGATCTATTTTCCAGGTCAGTTGTTTTTCCAATGAGATATTTCACATTGTTTTCTAATTTTTCATTCTTTTGGATTTGTTCTACTGTGTTGTGATTTCTCATAAAGTCACTATCTTCCAATTGCTCTATTCTAATTTTTAAGGAAGTATTTTCTTCAGTAATCTTTTGGACTTCCTTTTCCATTTGGCCAATTTTTCTTTTTAGGGCATTCTTCTCCTCATTGGCTTTTTGGACCTCTTTTGCCATTTGGGTTAGGTGATTTTTTAAGGTGTTATTTTTTCAGTATTTTTTGGGTCTCCTTTAGCAAGCTGTTGACTTGTTTTTCATGATTTTCTTGCATCACTTTCATTTCTCTTCCCAGTTTTTCCTCTACTTCTCTTATTTGCTTCTCAAAATCCCTCTTGAGCTCTTCCCATGGCCTGGGACTGATTCATATTTTTCTTGGAGGCTTTGCATGTGGGAGCTTTGACTTTGTTGTCTTCTTCTGGTTGTACGTTTTGATATTCTTTGTCACCAAAGTAAGATAATATAGTCTGACTCTTTTTGCGAGGCTTGTTTATGATCCCAGCCAACTACTTGAGTTTTAAACTCTTTGTTAAGGTAAAAGTCTGCTTCCAATGTGGAGAATGTACTGTCCCAAGGTTCAGGGGTTTTCTATAGCTGTTTTCAGAGATACTTCTAGGGACCTGTAAATTTTCAGTTCTTCCAAGGTGGCATGATAAGGGTCAAGGTGTTTACTCTTTTCCTGGCCTGTGCTCTGGTCTTTGAGTGACCAGCCACAAGCAGTCTTTTCTCTCTTGGAACTGTGAGGTGGGTTTCTTCTCCACTGCCACTACAAGCTCCACTGCACCAGCACTCCTCCTCACCCTAGGACCGCCACCCAGAACTGTGACCCAGATCCAAGCATGGGCAAAGCAAGAGATTCCTACCTCAGCGCTGGCAAAGAGATCCCTGCAGTACCCCTCTGATCAGCCACTTGCTTCCCCCTCAGTCTGTGGGCTGGAAACTCAGGACACAGCCATCACCCCGGCGCCGGTGCTCTGGAACTGGCTCTGACCTAGCTATTCTCTCACCGAAAAAACAGACTTGTCCCACTGACCTTCTAAGTTGTCTTTGGCTGTTGGTGGACTGAGGAGTCAGGAAACCGCCATGGCTGCCTGTGATTCATTCCTCTGAGGCCTGCTCCAGGTTCGCTGTGGCCTGCGTGCCCCCACACCAAACTGCGCTCCTCTCACTGCACTGCACGATATGCCTTTCCGATCAACCATCCAGGCTGTCTTGGGCTGGAAATTTGTTTTACTCTGTCTTTTTGTGGGTTCTGCTGCTTTAGAATTTGTTTAGAGCCATTTATTACAGGTATTTATTTGGAGGGGTTTGGGGGAGAGCTCAAGCAAGTCAGTGCATTCATCCTGCCATTTTGGCTCCACCCTCTCCAGTGTTTTTTATCTAAATTTTTTTCTTCCTAAGGGGTATAATACTCTATCCAATTTCTTTTGGAGTCTATATTAAAGTCAATATATCAGAAAAAGATGATATCATTGGAGAAGCACTCTCTAGTCTTCTTATGTAATAATATTTTAAAATAGACAATATGGATCATTTCTCTATTACTTGTTTCTTTAGGCCTAAGAGTATGTAAGAACAATGCAATTCAGGTGAGGTGAATTGCTTGATGATATCTTCTCAAATCCCAACTTTTTCAATGAAAAACTCCTTATTTATTTGAACACAGCTTATATTTCCCAGTAATTTATAACCCTTCTTTTTTTGGGGGTGGGGGAATAAGACTTCCTAGGCCCTCCAGGATTTCCCGCAATTCACAATAGTCTAGTTACCACAACCATTACCCTTGTTCCTCGCCCCCACCCCCATTCTAATTTTCATTTCAGCTCCTCCTTAGCTTCCCCTATTCTTACTTTTCATACAGGAAAGTGAAGAGTTGTGAACCTTGGGCAGCCATAGAAGGCTACAGGAGTCATTGCATAGAAATGCTATACAACAGACAGGAAATAGGACTGTCTTTAGCTAAGGAAAACATTTTACTTGATGTCAACAGGAGTTGGGGAGAGTAGGGCCAAAGAGGGACTCTATGACATTTTAGTCTCTGAACTGTCCCTATAAAAACGAACATGGAAGTCAGACTGTATATTTGGGATAAACTAGTGTCCAGATCTGTCCCAAAGAAGCCTTAGGCATCTCCATTCTTTTCTGAAGCTGGACATCCCCTTCCCAAAGCCTAGTAGATACTCTCCTTTGCTCCTTCTACTGAATCTCTTGCCTTAGTCTCACTCTAGCTTCTCTGGTTTTCTTTCCCAGGACAGTCTTGAAGAAGTAAACGGTAGCAGAAAATGATGGATTTGGAATCAATTGGGTCCCTTTTCTCTACTGCTACCATAGTTCAGCCATAGTTAAAGCTCTTATCAGTTATCAGAATTATTGAAATAGTTACTTGAAAGGAAGGGGTCCCAACCACACCACTCCACTGCTTCCTTGCTATCTTAACTAGGTGAGAACATACCTCAATTAATCAAATGTGCATGGGCCTTGAACTGAGCACTAAAAGGCTTTTGACTTTGCACAAGAATCACGTTTGGATTGTTGTTGCTGAGTCATTTTTCAGCCATGTCTAACTCTTTGTGATGCCATTTGGGGTTTACTTGGCAAAGATAATGGAGTGATTTGCCATTTCCTTTCTCCAGTTCATTTTATAGATGAGGAAACCGAAGCAGAGTTACACTTGCCCAGGGTCACACAGCTAGCATCCAAAGCTAGATTTGAACTCACGAAGATGAATCTTCCTGACTCCAGAAAAAATCCACTGTGTCACAAATGTTTGGATAGGGGCTTAGGAAACTTGTCCCAGGGATTATTTATAAATTATCAAGCAAGTTGAGAAGTGATTGAATTCCAGAAATTGAAGCATACTTGGCATACTGGCTGAACCTCCTATACCCCCTATACCCTCCCATGAACTGGGTGGAGAGGAAGGTGGGGTATAGAGGGCCTTAGCTTCAGTCTTGGCTAGATCTCCTTTCCTCTCTTCTTCTCTGACCAGAGGAGACACTTGAAAGCTTTTGGGCTTCTCAATTTTGTATTAACTGTTTTTATTGTACCGTTTTAGTACATATATTTTTCTAAAAACTATTTTAAGGTTGGCTAATGAAATGATTTTCAATTGACAATTTGGTGGGGGAATCGAGATGATGGCATTAGAGAATCGCCCTGACTTCTCAGGGGTACCCCTAAATTCCTGAGGGGAAAGATGTAGCTAGTCAAGCTCCGGGAATTGCACTTGTCATTGGGAGTAGGAATTGGGATAAGAGGTTTTACCTGGGCTACACACCTAATCGGTCTCCCAACATCCAGTCTTTCACCTTTCACCTTCCTCTACACAACTGCCAAATAGATATTCCTTAAGAACAGGTCTCACTACAACATTCCTCTGCTCAGAAAGCTTCCCTTGCTTCTCATCGTCTTCAGCACAAAATCCAAACTTCTGTGTTGGGCATTTACTGCCTTTTGTAGGATCCAGCTCATCTTTTGAGGCTGACTACACAGTGACTCTCCCTTATAAACTCTACATTCCAGCAAACTGGCCTACTTGCTCAGTCCATGGAATTCCATTCCCTACCCTCATGCCTTTACATAGGCTGATCCCAATCTTTGAAGACTTTTCTTCTTCACCTCTCTCTCTCTCAACTCCCAATTCCCTTCAAGGTTCATCTCAACTGCCACCTTCTTTAAGAGATCTCTCCTGATTTCCCCTAGTTGTCAGTCTCTCCCTCCTCACCCCATCATAACTCTGCATTTATTTTGCATATAGACTACATTTTGCTATGACCATGAAATATACCCCTGGAAGAGTATAAGCTCCTTGAGCACAAGGACTCTCAGGTTTTCTTCCCCAGGACGTAGCACAGTGCCTGACACAATAAAGGTAAGTTGGTTGACTGACTGCTACCTGCGTGACTGATAAATGTTAGTGACCTTGGGCTAGTCTCAATCCCACTTGGCCTCAGTTTCTTTATGTGTAAAAGGAGAAGTGACTTGGATGATCTTTGGGCTTCCTTCCAGATATAAATCCTGTGATCCTCTAAAGCAGCTCCCTCTGCAGAGGTAGGAGGGGAAATGCAGAGGAAGCAGGAGCTCTGACAAGTGGGCAAGTTCCCTTCCTGTTAGTCACATTTCACCCTTCTGTGCCCTGAAAAGTGTAATGGAAAAGTTTCCCTGTATGTAGGTGGGGGAAAACTACAGTCCTATTAGGTGCTGGTAGTTGACCTTTACTTAAGCTATGATAGCATCAATCACCATGTAGATTGGTTTTTTAAAAAGCCTTTATTTGCAAGAAAAATACAAAATAACAAAGGAGATCCATGATGAAGCCTCATATGCAACACAAATCAAAAAGTATAGTACCAAGACCCCAACAGGAGAATACCACAAAGAGCCCTCATGGTTTGGAAGCTGAAATCTTCCTTAATCACTGGAGAAATAAACTCCATGGAGTCTCAGAGGGTACTTGTCAAGTTAAAAGGAATAAACTATTTTTCATCAGTTGCAATATTTTTTTCTTTTACAAGATGATAAAAGAAAGAAAACCTAGCTTAGTGTAGGAAGTTGAGACAGACAGTCTCCTTTCAAATCACTAAAATAGTTGGTAAAAACTCTGGTCTTTGATAGTAGGATGTGCATTTCCACATCTAGATTCTGTTTTCTTGGATCCAACTAAGGCCAGTAGGGCAGAAATCATGAACAATAGTGAAAAGGTCTATTGGCTTTTGCCATGTGCACATGAGAAAGCAGAAAAAATGGATCTGTCCTGCTGGGGCTGATTTCATCACCAGAGCCATTCAGTTTCAGCTAGGAGCACTCAGAGCAGCCTAAGGACATTCAGTACAAAATCTGGCAACATTACTCTAAACACAGGAACATAGCAGGAATGAGATGCACCCGTACCCAATTTGCCAACAGCTGTATGTGGTTTAAAAGGTGGAGTCACAGACAGAATTAACTAAGCTGGCATCCATGGAATATACTTGAAAGGTGGTTTCTAAGATTTTGATACATGTGTGTATGTGTGTTCCGATTACAAAAATGGGGGGAAAAGTTATGATGTTATGAAGCCATATGACTGTTTATTAAATATGACCCTTTGTTAAATGAAAAGTTCAACAAATCCTATCTGCATTCATAAGCTAAGCAAATAGACAGTAAAACACCAGCAAGGAAGGAGGCTATAGTGCATATATAAAAGATACTGATGCTTAAAACCAGAGAAAAATTTCAAGTGCATATCACTAAGATCAGTAAGAAGGAGAACTAAGGAGAAGGAGATCCGGAAGAAGAAAGTAGCCTAGCAGATGTGAAATACTCTTTTTAACAGAGATGGTAGCTTTTAGTAAAAACTTTATAAAAGCATGCCTTACTCTTCTAGACAGAAGGGTAAGCAGAAGAGTTGGCTATGTGTAAGCTATTAATAGCATATATAAATGTAAAAAAAATCACATTTTTGAATTACATCCTAAAGACAGGTCAGAGAGGTTAGTGCTACTGATCCACACTTATTACCTTTTGATGTGAAAAGTTACCCTTGGCCTTTGCACCATTTAATTGTGTGAATTGTATCAAAATAAGTTTCATTTACCTGGAAGAAGAAATGCCAAAGATGGAAAGTCCAGGATCTACATGGGAGAAACTTTAATGGAATAAGACCCAGAATGAAGGTCCTATTATCAGTGGCCATTGGGTACTTCGACATGTTGATACTAAGAAAGGTAGGGTGACCTAGTGATACTAGACATATTCCTCAGGTTTGGGGGACCAGAACTTAGCCACTATGAACTTAGCAATTATGAGATGCTCAGCAATGCACTTAAACTCTATTGCTCCATTTGTAAAATGTGGATACCTCCCTTCTTTTTATTTTATGGGGGCATTACAGAGGTATTCTAGTAGTTCTATGAGTGGTACCTGTAAGAATTAGAGAAAGCAGTCAAGTACATAAGTACAAGGTGGCTGTTGGTGGTAGCCTCATGGATAAGTTACTGAACCTGTATGGGTAAGTTGCCTTTTCTGTAAATTAAGGGAGTTGGGCCACATGATCTCTAAGGCCCCTTCCGGCTCTAAATCTGTGATCACTACAGAGCTTAATTAGCAGCATTTCAGAAACACTTCTAATTCCATAGCTTTTAAATTCCAGGAGAGGGCAGTATGACATCAAAATTCATTATTATCTTAACATTAAAAAAGCTTAACTATCAGCTGTTCATTGCTACCTTCGACTCACCATTTCTATTTGTTCACACGAGATATACCAATCTAATGTTCTTTGGTAAAACAAGCAGGGGGAGAGGGAATTTGTACACCATAAAATGTACAGTCTTAAAGTGCACTTCGCCATAGTCTCCCTCCTTTTTTAGGGACAGAAGGGGAATAATAATCAGACATGTCTTCTCCTTCCTTTTCCCTAGGCATAACATAAATCTAAATGACAAACGACTTTTGAAATTCCTAAATTAACCAAGAAGCAATACATTCCAGTCAATCAGAAGGCAAGCTGCTTACTATGTATTTACAAAATGTGCCACATATTACTGACATTGAATCTCATTATAGAACCCTACAAATGAAAATTTGGTATGAGAAGTATCTGTTATGGGCCATATTCAAGGAGCTTAACTTACCAAAGAACCAAAAGGACTTAATACCAAGGCAATTTAGTTGATAAAGTGCCCACCCTTCATGGACCCTGAGGACAGCATTAGAATGAAGCTATCAGGCTTGTATTAGACTTTAAAAATGAGAAATAATTTGATTAATTTACTACGAAGTTATTTCCTACCTTCTCATCCTCTTCTTCACTGCACTTTCTCTTTGCCTGAGTTTCTCCTAGTCCATAGAACCTCCCCAAGCATATTTATGATATTGTAGTGATTACCTAATGTAAAGAATTATTATTAAGTAGTTTTAGATTAGCATACATATCTGACTTGCCTACATTTATTTTCAGGCTCAAACTACTTTTTTATTTCATGGATCTACATATGCAAAACTCACCCTACATTTAATTGCCTTGTGGCAATAGACTTTTGATAAGTGCATGTGTTTAATTTCTGTCTTTAGCTAATATAGTCAACATTATCTCACAAGGATCAGAGTATGCCAGATTTTAGAACAAATGGGCAGAAAAAAATTAATATAGTGGTAAACAGATGTCAACTTCTACATTTGCTATGGGCAGGAAAACAACAAGAACTTTTAAATTTTATAACCATGCTGATAAAATAAGCAAATGGAAGATGTAATAGTAGAAGTTGTTAGTGGCAAGTATCTACCTACTTTGGAAAACATGATGCAAATGTGTGGGTTGTGTTCTGTGGTTCATATCTCACTTAGGTTTTAGTGGGATTCTCTTGAATTCTTAAATGAAAAGATAAGGACGATTTTTGGTCTACATCCTGTTTAACTCAGTTAAGGTTTCTGGCTTAACTTAAGAAAGGAAAGGTAATCTAGATCACTTCATGATGTGTCTATAAAATGACTTAATACAGGCCATACCCAACTCATAAAAGGGCTGTGTATGTTACAAAAATTCATTCGTTAAGTGGACTGTTTGGGACTGAACACATTTTCCCAGGGAAATGATGTCCCATATGGTGGATTCCCATGTTAGTTCACAATTACCTATAATGCACCTAAAGAAGAGTATTATACTAATACTACTGTACTATTTGTATCATACCTAACAATGCACTGGCAGTATTTCTATGGAGAAAATGAACCACACAGACTCCCCTTATTTCCACTTGATGCCCTTACAAGACAGCAGAGATTCAACCTCTTTACATCTGCTGGATATTAGGGTCTGGGGCTCCCACAGCTCCCTGTCTATGATGGTGGCTTCAGCAAGGTTGGATTTAGGGAGGCCTGAGGGATGGCAATATGGGTTTTGGAATGTCAGTGGCTGAAAATCTAGGATAGGGATATGCTACAGATATGGCCACCAGAACAAAGTAAGAACCTGGAAATGGCGTTAACTAAATGGGAGTCTAAGGCAGTATGGAGTCTACAGCAGTGAGGAAAAAGGGGAAGGAAATCTCCTGTGATAGTGGAGAGGGAAGGGGAATTCCTGTGCCCATGCAGCAGGGAAGGGCATTTTACAAAGGGGATGGAAGTGTGTTGAAGATGGTCTATATTCTAAAAACCCAATACCTTAAGGAGGCTAAAGGGATATAAGAGGCAATAAGAATGTAGCTTGTGAGTGAGGTCCATACTTGCATCTATGTTACTCTTCATGCATCATTGACTTTTTAGTTTCATATACTTACAAGGTCTATAATGAATGCCAATTACAATTACATTTTCCTTCAATAAACTGTAGAAGTATGAGAAAGCCATATTTAGGTTAAACAGGCACCCAAAGGGGAACCTTCACTTAAATGCCCAGCATAGTGCCTATTCCATTGTCAACATTCAATATAAATTCAACAAATAGTTTATCGGTTCTGTTTAACAACTTACTAAGCATCTATATTTTAAAATTACATACATTGTAAATTGTTTCAATCACATCTTACAGTAACTCGAACCAGGGAAGAAAGTGAGTTGGGCATAATAAAGAATGGATCAGAAATTTTAGGGATTGTCTCTTCTATTTTAAAGTTCATCTTGCCATGCTGGAGTTGATTAAATTAGCAATATCAGGCTCTAAATGAAAACTATCGTTAAGGAATTGCTAAAAAGAGTGTTGGTGGCTTAGCAAATAGTTTTATTTCAAGTTTGCCTCTAAACTTTATTGAGGTTGAGAGGCACCGTACTTCAAAAAAAGAAAAAGAAAAAAGTGTTAGCCTCAGGGCTTTGAGTACCTAATTCTCATTCATGACATTTATTTTTACATATATATATATGTATGTATGTATAAAATTTGGACTGAGCTTGAATATCAGATATCAGATTGAACTGCCCTAATATATATTAAACCCAGAACTAAATCCAAATATTAATACTTCAAAAAATGAACTTTTTGTTTTTCCCCAAAAACACATTACTACTGCCTAATTAATCAGTCCTGCTGATCCAAATATTAATACTTCAAAAAATGAACTTTTTGTTTTTCCCCAAAAAACACATTACTACTGCCTAATTAATCAGTCCTGCTGAGAGGATAATTTGGTATATTAGGAAAAGCACTGGACTGAGAGTCACAGCATTTAGGGCCTAATACACTCGGTGATCCTGGGTAAATGATCTAACCTTTTGGGGCCTCCATTTCCTAATCTGTAAAATGAAGGGGTAGGAGGCAGCATGGTACAATGGAAGGAGTCAGAGGAAATGGGTTTGACTTCTTATTGTGCCTGTGCTCCCCATGGGCAATGCAGGCACTTAACTAAATCTGAAGTTCTTTGTCTAAAATAAGGGGGTTGGACTAGGCTACCTCTCAGGCTCCTTTTAACTCTGAGACTAGACGACATTCTTGATTCTTTCTAGCTCTAATGTTCTGTAATTCTGTGAGAGGTGATGCCATCTATTCCCGCAGAGGAATAAAGAAAAGACGATAGTCTGGGGAACTGGGCAGTCTTCCCATAGCATCTATATAGACTCAATGTAGCTTCTATGTTTTTTTCTAAACCGTCAAGCCAGAACACTGAAGAAGTCTCTGAGCTAAGCCGTTAATTAACTTGGTTGGATTCCTGGATTCTCATTCTCACTTGTGGAGGTTTTTACTTCTTAGCTAAGTGCTTTTATAGTGTTGCTGGGGCGTGTCTTAGCTGGTACAAGAAATGCTAGAGATAGCTATGTTTTAATGAGAGGTCGATGGATCTATTTTGACCTCTTAATGGAGTCTTAAAACTTTTCACTAGAAAAACACTCAGTCTCCTGTGGAAGATGCAAAAGTGAGCCTTATAATAATTTAAAATAACTCATAGCTAATATTAAAGCATTTTGAAGGCCACTGATGGAAAACTCTCCTTCTAGAGTACAAATACCTAGAACTAGGTTCTTGCTCTAAGGCTTTACTCTAACCTCTACAGTATTTAGTTGTATTTTTTAAAATAAATTTTTTCTTGGAAAAGCTGAGCAAATAACATCTATATTTAGATCCCTGAAAGGGCACAATTATTCAATTATACTAGATGGGTATGTCAACTGAAGACAACCTCAAGATGATAGTAACATCTTAGTAAATGGACTTTATAGCGCCTTACAATGGATGAATGATAATGACATGAAAATAAAATGGAGCAATCGTTTAATGGTGTTTGGCCTCCAAGCAATGGAAATCAAGGCTTTTGATGGCAGACATTGCATGTGATTCCTTTTGGGTCATCAACAGCTTTGGGCTCTGGGAATTGTTCTTACAATCTATATCATTACAGTCAATGGATAATCTGATTTTATGAAGAAATAAAAAGCATTTTGCTTATAGGGATTGGCTACTGTATGAGCTTGCCTACCACTTTATTTTATCCTCTTGAAGTTCTGGATTCAAACATTAAATCAAAATACAGATGTGCAAACACATATACAATAACAACAACAAAAACCAAACCAAAAACTGCTTAGAGGGAGACAAATGTCATCGTTTTTGAAGTAAACACTTAAAAAAAAAGCGAGACCAATGTGCTGTACTCCCTCCATCCCAAGCTACAGTGGTTTTCAATGTCCAAAGAACCAATGGAATAATGGAAGAAACCGTTTAAAAGTGATTGTGGTAGGCTCCATGCCCCCTCTTTGGCCATTCCTCTTCCACCCACCTCCGCAAGACTTTTTCCACATCAACTCTATGATAGAGCCTACACAGCTCAATCAGTTGATCCACAGTTTTGTGACTATTCCGGAGCAGGAACTCCAAGGTAGGACTCTGTTGTTTCTGTTCCAGAAAACACAATTCATCATAGTGCATTCCCCATTTGCTTGCAAAATTTCTCCAGTTTTTTACTGTTGGGTGACATGGATCCAGCTTTATTCTGATCACATCTAGCAAGTCCTCGTCATTGAGCAAGTCACTGATGTTGGGGGCCTGGGGTGAGCATAAGGAACATGTGCAACTTTCTTGGCAAGAGTTGTTCTTTATATCTGTAGGGGAGAAACAGTAAGTTCCAGTAAGTCAACAAGAAAACTACAACTAGGTGGGTTTTTTGCATCCTTTTTTGAGACTGGTTTTCCCCATCTCGCTCAGGCTGGAATGGCAGCAAGAGCTACTGATGGGCCTAGTTCCACATGGATCAACCAGAGAGCTTTGATCTGCTCCATTTCCAATCTATAATGGTTTGCCTCTTCTTGGGCAGCCTGGTGGCCCCCCATTCTTGGGAGCTCACCATATTGGCACTGGACTTAGTATGGAAGCTCTACTGGCTTGGCTTGCTGCAGCTAAGAATTCCTGAGCTCAAGAGATCCATTAACCTTACTCTGTCTCTGATAGCAGGAGTTACAGGTGTGCCTCAACACACCTGGCTGTCTCTTCTAGCTTTAATCCCATTATACTCTGAGTTGTCAGTGGCATTCAAATAAACATGACATGCGATAGTCAAGAAAAATGAATATTTCCAGAATTTTTTTTTTACTAGCTTTATGATTTCCTCAATGTGAGGGAACTCTAGGGAGGAACTTCCTCTAGAGCTAGAAGGGACCATCATCCCCCTCATTTTATAGAGAAGGAAAGTGAGACCTGGAGAAATTAAAGGTCATATTGTCAGTATGTATCAGAAGTGGGACTTGAACCCAGGTCTTCTTTATTCTAAGTCCAGCTCTCTATTCACCACACCATGCTGCCACTGTTTTCTGTACATGTATATAATAGAGATGTATACCTCATTGGATATCATGGATATATATGCACACATACATATATATACACATATGTATATTGTATGTATCTCCTTTTACATACCAAGGAATTTACATTCCTCTACAATGAGGTTGCCAAACTATACCCACCTGTTTTTGTACTGTGTGAGAGCTAAAAACAGTTTTTACTTTAAGTAATATTTTATCATATTTTAAAATGTAAAAACAATTCTTAGCTCTCAGGCAGTACAAATGCAGGTAAATGGCCCTCTAGCTACGGCTGAGGATCAGCTGCTGTTCCAATGATGAGGAAGGGTTTGCCCTTAACTAGCTACAATCCCCTTTCTTCTTAAGAACTTCAAGGATCACACTCCCTTCTTTGACAGAGATGGCCAGTCCTCTATGAGTCAACGGGTAGCTGGTGGCTGGCAGTTTCTGCGGCCAAAAACCTTCATCTCTTTGTGGCCGCCCTGGCAATGAGTTTCTTTGAACTTAGCTAGGCTGGTCCTCAGATGACAGAAGTATGGTTGGTTTGCTGCTGGGTCTGTACGTAAAGCCTTTTTTGCCTTGGTAAGATCTGCCTGTCAGATCTTGTACGCTGCTGGCACAGGCTTCCAGGTTCAGGAGTAACTTCCATGGCACAATTAGGCATCAGAGGAGGACTCTGGCAGAAGAATCCCTTTCCTAGTCCTTTTATAACTTTTTCAGAATAGCTAGTAACATGCATTTGTGAGATAGTTGGACTGAGTGAGGAACTCCCAAAAGGGTTTTCTCTGAAGAAAGATAAATTGCCCATCTGTATATCAAAGTTACCCTCATTAGCACCATGCTCTACCCCATCTGAACTAACCAGCCCAGGCATGTACATAGCCCCACTCCTCCCTGCCCCATCCCCCTTCCAATTTTAAAGTCAAGCCTGACAGCTTTTAAATGCCAAACACAGTACTTTAGGGTGTAAATGACTGAAAAACCTTTAAACGAGTTCTTTAAAAACATACACACAAACTTGAAAATCCACCCTCTACACATATTTGAAAATGAGTGATAACTGACAATGTCAAAATACTGATTTTAAAAAAATTATGGCCAATTTATCATCCTTCTGTTTTTTCTTCACCCACGGGGCTCTCTTTGAAGCTGAGCCAAAACTTTAGCTATGTACATGGGATGAGAATCAGGCTGAAAGAAAAAAAGGGAAAAAAGAAACCCAACAGCTGTAGATTCTTCTCCCATATAAAAACACAATTCTTCACAGCTTGAGTTTTCTGACCCAATACAGCATTCACATATGGGGTGCTTTTTATGTTGAAGGTACATTTAAGTATCTTACTGAGAGGATAAAGGAAAATAGAGCTAGTTGGTGATAGTGGTTGGCAAGCAATTCATACCTGCTAACTTTAGGTATCTCCACGTAACCAGGGTAAAGAAGCTAATTCTGCCACAATGCTCTGAAACACCTAAAAGACTCCGCTTGGGTCAGGTTAAAATTGTGATTGACTATCAAGGCATTAGCTCTTGTCGATGTGAGTAGGGGCCACAAGGACCCTTAGTGAATATCACATCTCGTTCTGGCCTCTCTAACTGAAAGAAATAGGTATCTCAGAGTGACATATTTTATGACATATTTTATGATTCCTCTCTGAAGCCATGCTAGACACTTCCAAGTTACTAATGCTTCCCTTCTACTCACAAAAGCACTTTGCCTTCTCATGTAGTGGCAGAGATAAGGCCTGGATCTATGATTCCATTGGAATAGGAAACTCTCTCTACCAATGAAGGTCAACACCTTCTTTGCCTGGGATGTACTGAAAAGTTAGGTAACGTGCTAAGATTCACAACCTGCATCTACTGGTCTTCCTGGTTCTGAAATCACCCTCCCCACTCTGTTCACGATGCCACATTATCTCTCATATCATTATCATGTGTTACTTCATATTACTGTTAACTTGATAATATGTACTTCATATAAAATATTTGTCGTCCCTGATTCGACTGTAACTTTCCCAGGGACAGGGACCAGATTTAAAATGTGTACCTCCTCCACCATTTTGCAAGGATGGGCATTTTGCATAATGGTCAATGTTCTGGAAAGATTGGACATCTGTAAAAGTAATTCTAGTCTGAATAGTGCTTGGGCCCCTAGGGAAGAGGTCTGTTAAGAAAGAATTGGTAGATGGTGTGATGGCACTTGATATATATAGATCTGTTAATCAGAATGGACTAAAAGATTGGAAAATAACAACACTGAGGAACACCAACACCCAAAGATTAAGTAGCTTAAAGAGAGAAATCTTCTTTAAGTAAATGAAATAAATACACAGAAGATCACCCTTATCTTCATGAATGGCAGAGAAAGGAGACACAGACTTCAGCTGTAATATAAGAGATTTAGGTTAGATGTAAGACAGAACTTCCCAACAATGAGAGTTACATAAGGTCAGAATGAACTAATAAGGGGCATTATCAAATTTATTCTAGAAGCCTTTAAAACTAGTATTGATGTCCATCATTGCAAGATTATGTATAATGTTGTGTGAATACAGGGTAGAAGTTTTAAATAATCTCTTCTGGTTATGCGCTTGTATGATTCTATGCTACCTTTGTTTTTATATTCAAGAAAAAGAAATAAGCAAGGAAAAGAATAATCCAGTTATTAATGTGTTAGTACAACTGCTTTAAATCTTCAGTTTGTAAGATAATTTTATTTCTTTAAGTCACTGGTGAGAGCATGCACTAGTTTCGGTTTAAAAAGGCATGATGTGCCAAAAGAGTGATTGCCTTTGTTTTGTTCTTTGCACTTCAATCACTAAATTGACAAACCAGTTAGTATATTGGAATTCACTTGAGCTGGCAGCATCAGTGAATTTAAAGCAGCTCCTGAGAGTCATAGACTATAATTAGCCCCTCTGAGGGGTGTGGGAGGTGGAACATGTTTTATCTACCAGATACATTTTGTCCTGCCATACTTTAAAAACCCATCATGTAAAGTTACACATGAAAGGGTAGAGTGGGTAACGCAAAAGGAAAAAATGATAATGAGGGAGGGGAGATTTAGAAATCACAAAATCCAAGGCAATCAACAATTTTAATAAATGTTAATATGTCGGATAATTGTGAAATTTTATTAGCATGTAGAAAAGGCACTCATTAATTGTTTGTTGATTATGATTTCTACTTTCCTTAAGTAACAGGACAAATTCATTATTATTGCTTAAAGAGATATTAGAACCTAAAGAAAAAATGATGATGAGAGAAAAGGTGTTGGTGCTTAATAATACATAAACAGAGGTATTTTTGGAAAATAGCAGAGAATTCATTGAAGGGGTAGATTTAGATTCAAAGGGGTAGGTGCTCTTTGAATTTTTTTAAAGTTGATATTAAAGGAATGAGGCTACTAATGTTCAAAACTCACCCGTATTCTATAATAACAACCACCTAAACAGGGTCTCCTCCCCATTATCTAGTTTTGCTATGGCCCAGTGCCCCCCCCATTTTGAACTTTGAAGTTGAAAGCAAGAATAAGTCCCACAATTCACACATTAGGCAGAGAATTAATTAACCCTTATTAAGTACTGAATTTCGATGGACATTTCTTATAACAAGCCAAAAGTCTGAGAAGATTTGATACCTGTGACACTAGTTTGAATACTATTTGGGAATATAAAGAAGGACTGGAAAGAGAATATTGAGAATAGTATTGTGGTAATCTATGATAGGGCAGCTAGGTGACACAAGTGAATAGAGTTCTGGGCCTGGAGTTTAGAAGATTCATCTTCTTGAGTTCAAATCCGGCCTCAGACACTTATTAGCTGTGTGACTCTAGGCAAGTCATTTAACCTTGTTTGCCTCAGTTTCCTCATCTGTAAAATGAGCTGGAGAAGAAAATGGCAAATCACTCCAGTATCTTTGCCAAGAAGACCCCAAACAGAGTCACAAATAGTTGGACGTGACCAAAAAGCGACTAAACAAAGAAAACAACAAATCTATCATAAGGAGAGAGATTTACAGAAATTCTCTAACCTATGGTTGAGTGGCTTGCCCCAGGACAGTTAGGTAGGTAAACCATGAGGGCTATTATATGCTTGTTATTTAGATGAGAGAGACATATCTTCAATTTTCTACATGTGGAAAGTCTGCCTATGCCATCTGTCTATCTAAATCCAGCTCAAGTGGCATCATTTGAATTGTTAAAAGATTTTACATCAAGCTCAAATTGTCCCCTAGGGGTACATACACCTAAGCATGGTAGAAATCTTCATAATATTAAAAACTGGAAATATCATGCCTGT